TGAGTTAGAAATGGACTAGCTCCATTTTACAGCAGAGGGAACTGAAGCTCAGAGAGGTTAAGTAACAAGCTCAAAGACACACAGCTAGGCAGTAGCAGAAGGTGGATTCAAATCCAGGCAGTCTGACTGCAGACTGCATGATCCTTAGCTTGTGTTTGGTATCACCCACCTGTTGGCACCTGCTGTGAGCTGGGCGGTGTATTTCAGGCCCAGGACAGCCTTTGGGAGAGCCTGCGAGGTCCAGAGCGCAGACATTGGAGCCAGGCTGCCTGGTTTCGAAACTTGGCTCCACACTTGCTGTGTGACTTTGAGAAAGTCACTTCAACTCTCTGAGCCTCAGTTTCATCATTTGAAAAATGGGGCTCTTGAGGTTGTCGTAGCGATTAAGTGAGTTAAAAACACTGAAAGTGATTAGGACAAAGCCTGGCACGTAGCAAGCTCTATAGAAGTGTCAGTCGTGGATATTATTATTGCCGCTGTGGTTATTAAGAGCACAGACGATGGCGAGACAGCAATAAGCGAGCAAACACAAGAGCAAGTAAATAAACGCCCGTTGCAGTAGGCCGGCGTGACGGGGAACATGAGGACGGGGACCTGAGACGTGAGTGATGAGGAGAAACTGGCCTGCACCAGAGCGGGGTCAGGGAGCGTCCCAGGCAGAGGAAACGGCTAAGCAGAGGCTCCGACGTGCGAAAGGACTTCTCCGTTGAAGGGGCTGGAAGGCGGCCAGTGGCCGGGGCAGTGGGGGTGGTCTGGATTTTAGCTGAGAGCTCGGGGGAGGCACTGAAGGGTGTAAGAGCAGAAGGCAGAGTCCCGTAGGTTAGTGACGGGAAAAGGACAAGCCGGAGCCTGGGGGACGGTAAAGGGCTCGGAGGCCACGAAGGTACCCAGCAGTTCCGCTCGCGGGTGGGCGTCCAAGAGAAAGGAAAACCTACATCCCTGCAGGAACGCGGGCGTGAGCGCTCACAGCAGCGCCGTCGGGACTAGCCGAGCGCGGGAGGGATCCAAATGTTCAGCGACTGACGGATGGACAAGCCAAACGCGGTCTCCCTGCACGGTGGAAGGGGCCTGACCCACGCTGCACCACGGATGAACCCGCAAACACGACGCGAAGTGGAAGAAGCAGACGTTCAAGGTCGCACAGCGCGTGACTCCATCCTCGGAAACGCCCAAATGGCGTTGGATGGCAAATGGCAAATTGGATGGCAAATTTGGCAAATCCGTGGGGACAGGAAGTAGGGCAGTAACTGCCCGGGGCTGGGCGGGGGCGGGGGGTGTGGAGGAGAGACCCGGGGGGTGATGGCCAAGGGTGGGTGTGTGGCTTCTTTTGGGGGTGATGAAAACGTTCTAGAGTTGATTGTGGCGATGGGTGCGCAAGTCTGTGAATGTACTAAACCACCGTATATTTTAAACGGGTAAACTGTACAGCGTATGAACTCTAGCCCGATGAAGATGGTACCCAAAACAAAGGGTCATAAGGGTGGCACGGGGTTGGGGGAGCTCTTACACCCACCATGGGGGACGATGATGCTCTGGGGGGTGGGGAGAGAGAGGGGCCGGAAGGAAGCTGGACTCTAGAGGGAGGCGGAACAGAACCTGACGGGGGCAGCGGGGAGCCCAGGCGACCCCCAGGTGTGCAGCCCACGCACGGGGTGATGGCGGGTCATTCACAGAAATGGCCAGGCCATGAACTCCAGTAAGAGCTTTTGCCGGGCCAGGCTCCTGGGATGGGTTCCGTGGGCTCGCAGCTAAACAAGCCAGTCCCTGCCCTCTAGCTCCTCTGCCGCAGCCAGTAACCATAAAGGCACACCCAGAATCTCTTTCGTGGCTGAAGAGTGACACACACACACACAGGGTGCCCTGAGGGCCTCCCAGATGAGATGGCACTGCCCAGAGGGGCCTCAGAGGATTGCCTCGGGGCGAACGGGGCTGGCATTCCAGGCGGCAAGGACAGAACAAGCTAAGACTTAGAGGTTAGACGGCTCAGAGGATTGCCAGGCCACAGCAGCATGGCAACATTGGCGGGTGGGTGTGGGCCCGGAAAGAGGGGAGATTGTACCAGAAAGACATGAAGGAGACTCACGTGTCCAGGTGCAAGTCTCCTGAGCATGGACTGAGTTTTGTTTTTCTAATTTGTCCCCCTAGAAACTTGCACACAGTAGGTGCTTAGGAAAGCGGACTTAAAAGGCTGTACTAGCCAGGAGCGGTGGCTCACGCCTGTAATCCTAGCACTCTGGGAGGCCGAGGCGGGAGGATCGTTTGAGCCCAGGGGTTGGAGACCAGCCTGAGCAAGAGCGAGACCCCCATCTCTACTAAAAATAGAAAGAAATTAATTGGACAACTAAAAATATATAGAGAAATTAGCCGGGCATGGTGGCGCATGCCTGTAGTCCCAGCTACTCGGGAGGCTGAGGCAGAAGGATTGCTTGAGCCCAGCAGTTTGAGGTTGCTGTGAGCTAGGCTGATGCCACTGCGCTCTACCCTGGGTGACAGAGCAATAACCAGTCTCAAAACCAAAAAAGAAAAGACAGAAAAGGGCAGCTCCGTCTGAGTAGTGTTCATCTTGGACGGTGGAATGAAGGTGACATTTTGTTTTCTGTTGCTCACTGCTTGTCTACATTTTCTAACTTATCTGCAACACACTTAAATTGCTTTTATAATGACGCAGGCAATGAAGCCTCGTCTCATTAATTGATGAGGTTTAAATGAATCCACTCTTCTCCTGCTTTTCAGCGTTGCCTTCTAACCTAGGTCCGCGTCACCGTGGTTGGAGTCCCAGGGCCAAGCAGAGCCTTTCGGGTACCCCTTGCCCCCACTGGCTGGGACTGGGAGGCCCTAGGGCAGCGACACTCCCACCCTCCAGGCCCTCACAAATGTCCCCAGCCCGCGCCCACCTGGTGATGTCCGGCAATGTCACCAGCCTGCCCGCCTTGACAGCTGCGTTGAAACTGTGCGCCCCGCGGGTCTCCATGGCGATGATGGGCACGTGCTGCCAGCCCACCTCCACCAGGCCGGCCACCACCCCGGCCAGGAGTCCCCCACCCCCCACTGCCAGCACCACGGCGCCCGGCGGGGTCCCCAGGGCTGCCTTCAGCTCCTGCACCAGGCTGGCGTTGCCTTCCCTGGGGAGGGGGCAGGAGGGAGGAGAAGAGTGAGAGAGGCCCCCAGACCCAAAGGCTCCTGGGGTTGGGGGAGACCATGGGGGGGTGGCACTGCCCCCCACATATATGTAAAACACCCTCGTCATCCCCTCCGCATCCATAGCAAGGGAGAGGAGACCCTGCCACAGGTGGCTGGCCCAGCTTCCATCCACTCTCTCTCCACACACACTTCTTCCTTCGTTCTTTCTGTCCCCCTCCATCCCCCTCCCGGGCGCTTCCTTGGACATTATCCTCTTCAAGCCCCCCACCTTCAGAAACAGGCAACATCAGTGCTGTGTGGCTAAGAGGGGGCCCGCGTATCGCTTGGAACCAGCCCCATTCAAGTTCGGGGACCGGGACCCTGTGTCTCCGCCACTGCCTTAGTTGTGTGACCTTGGGCAAGTGGTCGACCCTCTGTGCCTCAGTGTCCTCACCCACAGAATGGGTATCGCAACACTCGCCTCTAGGGCTGTGGGGCGGGCAAACAGAACAGCGCAGGGAGAGCCTTTAGCCTGGCGCCTGGCCCCAAAGTACATGCTCAATAAAAGGGACTTCATACTGTCATCTTCATTCCGCACGTGCAGAAACTAAGGCAGGGGCGGCGAGGTGCTTTGAACACAGTCCCACAGTTCCTAAGTGGCAGAAGCAGGGTCTGAACCCCGTGTCGGGCTGGCTTTGAAGCCTCTTCTCCCCCTGGGCCTCAGTTTCCCTTCTGTCCAGTGAGAGGACCCTGACTCACCCAGGGCCCCCAGCGCTGCAGTCCCTGGGAGGGGACACCAGCCTTACCATATCAGGGGGTGGTCGAACGGGGAGACGTTCACCCAGCCGTCCCTCTGGGCCAACTCTTGCGCCTTCAGATTGGCCTTGTCCCAGACCTAAGAGAAACCAAGGCCCCTCAGAAGACCCAGGAGTGCTACGGAGGCTGGAGCAGGGGCCTGGGAGCCAGCAGGCTGGAGACACCCGAGGACAAGGCCAGACCTGGTGTGGGCTCACCGGACGCATCGGGCGTACAAATGAATGCCACGTGCTTCCCGTCATCCTGAAGGGACCCCTCCTGCCACCACGCTGTATGAGAACGAAGGCAGGCCGGCCGGGGAGGCCAGGCGCAGGGGATCTCCAAGGCCAGCCACATGGTGTCCACCGCTGACCAACCGGCAGGGGACGAGCCCTTCAGATCAAGCCCCAGAGAGCCACTCGGTCACTGCAGATGGTGTCTGTGCAAACCGGCCCCGGCCCTCTGACGCCCTGCCAGTTGCCCGCGAGCAGCCAGAGAGGTGGCACGTAAGGCCGGCCCGGAACGCGATGGGCCCAAGCCGCCCACAGCAGGGAGGGCTTTTCTGTTCTCACCAGCTTTGCGTCTGCGGCAGAGGCCGTGTCCCTGCAGCCCGCCTGGAGGTCCCTTGCAGGGCATTCACTGGCCGTGCGACTTTGCCCGCAGGTGGCAAGGCAGAGCGCAGGTGCCGAGGAGCCGACACCCCCAGAGCAGCCTCCGCCAGAAGGGGTGTGAGTGGGTGGGTGAACGCCCCAGCTTCCCACCCCGCGGCGTGTTCTCCCAGGGGGTCCCCGTGGTGGGAACCGAACCCAGCTGCCCACAGAGGTGACCTGGCCACTCACACCCTGTCTGTGGGCTTTCTTCCCTGCCCTGCCTCACGGCCACACTCCTCCCGATGCTTCCTGCAGCCACCTCGCAGATAAACTGCGTGCACCTCGGTCCCTGAGTCAGGCGCCGCTTCTGGGGGAACCGAAACCAAGACAGCATTTCTGAGGGACCCCACACCCGCCCATCTCAGTGGAAGCCTCCTCTTCCAAGTGAGAGACTGAGGGTCCCAAGGGAGCCAGAAATAGCCTCCGCCCCTCCTCTGGGACCCTGCAGAGCCCATTCTGTGCCCAGTCCTGTGCGGGGGGACCCCCTGGGCAGGAGAGAAGCCAAAGAAATGGTCTCTGCCCACAAGGAATTTCCCATGTAGCTGAAGAGACGAGCCTCATTCTCCTGAGTTATCGAAACAAAAATTAGATTTAGAACTGCATAGTCCTTGACATCTGTCACCTGGAGGTCCCCCGGCTGCCTCCCCTCCTGCGCAGCCCCCATTCACGGCCCCCAAACAGGCAGAGTGGAAATCCAGCCGTGCTGTGTATACACAATGGGATACTGATTCGGCTACGGGAAAAAGAATGAAATCGTGTCCTTTGCGGCAACTGGGATGGAA